AGAGCGAGACCCCGTCTCTACCAAAAATAGAAAGAAATTAATCGGACAGCTAAAAATATATAGAAAAAAAATTAGTCGGGCACGGTGGCGCAGGCCTGTAGTCCCAGCTACTTGGGGGGCTGAGGCAGTAGGATTGCTTGAGCCCAGGAGTCTGAGGTTGCTGTGAGCTAGGCTGATGCCACGGCACTCACTCTAGCCAGGGCAACAAAGTGAGACTCTGTCTCAAAAAAAAAAAAAAAAAGAAACAAGGAGCACAGAGACATTAAGTAACTTGCCCAAGGTCACACAGCTAGTAAGTGGCAGAGCCAGGCTTCAAACCCAGGTAGTTGGCTCCAGAGCGCGAGTGCTTTACCACTCTATGAATACTGTCTCCCAAAACACCAGGTGTCATTGAAACCAAATCATCCCTAAACAAGCGCTGCTGTTTCACTTTCCCCAGGATCAGTCTTCTCCTGCCACCTGGATCATCCCGCAGGGCAGGGCCTGGCCTTCCCTACTGCGTCTATGCCCTGGGTACGGGATCGGCCGGTATGATGGACTAAAGGGGTCTTCAGGGGGGAAACAGCCCCTTTCAGGGCCCGTTTGGAGGGGCCCATGCTCTTTAAGTCGACTCGTGGAGCCTGTTCCTGCAGCAGAATTCACCAGTGGGAAATCCTGAGGCCTGGGCCACTGAAACCAGATCCCGGAGGTCCGATTCTGGGAATGAAGAAGGCTCTGCTCTTCATGTTCGAAGGACCAAGGGACCCTGAATTTTAGTGTCACCTTTGGAGAAGGCAAGAACCCTCGGGCCAAATCCCCCATGCAGCCGACAGTGACAGCCCCACTGTGTAAATGACAGACAGGCCCCAGGCCATGGGATCTCTGCCCGAGGCAGCAAAAGGGACCTGGATAAGGAGCCAGGGTCCCTGGGGTCCAGCCTGGGCTCTACCACCAGCCTGCTGTGTGCCCGGGAAGCCAGCTCACCTCTCTATGCCTCAGTTTCCCTTCCAAATGGGGGGTGGACAAGAATGATCCCCAGGTCCTATGCAGATCAGGCTCCAGGGGCTCAGTGGCCACTCCTCAGAGGCCACACCCCTGCCCAGTCTGCTCTGCCTTGGGCTCTGTGCACACAGGGGCCTCGGGAAGGGCAGAAGGTGGAGCAAAGCCCTGCGGTGAATCACACGCAGGAGCAGGGCCAGGAGAAGCCAAGAATCAGAAGGAAAATCCAAACCTGCAAATGTCTCTTCTCCCAGCCCCAAGCCCAGGCCAGGTTATTGAGTGTTACTAAGGAACAGGGAAGAAGTACTTGCAGCCTGCCCCAGGCCATGAATACTTTACTCTCAGGTAGACCCTGTCACTCCCAGGAACATTGCCTGATGTTCAAAGGCCTCCTGGCTTCCCCTGATCAGCCCTGGGAAGAAACTACCTGTGGCCCCCAAGACCCAGGAGAAGGTGGAATCCCCTGGGGAGAAAAGACAGGCTTCTGGGGAAGGAAGAAGCAGGGCGAGCTTTTCTAGGTGGGGGCCAGGGGAAAAGCCCCCGGCCTATGCTGGCCACCACGGGACCAAGGCTTCTTGAGTGTCATCACCCTCTGAGGCACACAGTAGGTGCTTAACAGGTGTAGTGCTTAACACAGTAGGTGTTTGTCGAGTAAATGAATGAATAAACCGTCTCAAGACTCAGAACCAGAGAAAGCCTCCGCAGTTAGGCATTCCTGGGTGGAAAAATGGGCATTGCCCATCACATAGCAGCGTGCAGCTAAATGCTCAGGACATCAGGCTCATTCCCTGGCTCCCATCAGCATGGTCCTCCTGTGCCCTGGGGCAGTGGTGCCAGAGGGAGCCAAGGCACGGAAGGGCTGTTTGTGCTGAGAGGCCCAGGTGCCCACCCTGCTCTTCCAGCTGATAGTTCTCCATCCCCTCCCCATCCACCCTGAAGCTGGCCACGCCATACCCACAGCAAGCCCACGTCACCCTGCTGCCCGGCCTCCTATGGGCTGAAAGCGAAGGCTGCCAGAAAGAAGCCAAGAAACAAAATATGAGTTTGGTGCGAAAGTAGCTGTGGTTTTAGCATTGTTGAAATTTGCCGTTTCATATTGGAATAAATGTGGTTATGTTATACATCATTTTAATGCACATTTCTCGCTTTATTTTTTTGCTAATGACTTATTACTTTCTGTTTATTTTATATTTATTTTAGACAATGGAAATGATGTTAGACAAAGAGTGAATTCGAGTGATTTTCTTATCCTAGTTCAAAATGGGTCGTAAAGCAGCAGAGTCAACTTGCAACATCAACAACACATTTGGCCCAGGAACTGCTAACGAACAGACAGTGCAGTGGTGGTTCAAGAAGTTTTGCAAAGGAGACGAGAGCCTTGAAGATGAGGAGTGCAGTGGCCGGCCATCGGAAGTTGACAACGACCAATTGAGAGCGATCATCAAAGCTGAGCCTCTTACAACTACAGGAGAAGTTGCTGAAGAATCAACGTGGACCATTCTATGGTCCTTCTGCATTTGAAGCAAATTGGAAAGGTGGAAAAGCTCAATAAGTGGGTGTCTCACAAGCTGACCAAAAATAAAAATAAAAATAAATCATCGTTTTTAATTGTCGTCTTCTTGTACACAACAACAACAAACCATTTCTCCATTGGATTGTGATGTGTGATGAAAAGCGGATTTTATACGACAACTGGTTTAACGACCAGCTCAGTGGCTGGACCGAGAAGAAGCTCCAAAGCACTTCCCAAAGCCAAACTCGCACCAAAAAAAAAAAGGTCATGGTCACTGTTTGGTAGTCTGTTGCCGGTCTGATCCACTACGGCTTTCTGAATCCCGGCGAAACCATCACATCTGAGAAGTCCGCTCAGCAAATGGATGAGATGCACTGAAAACTGCAACACCTGCAGCCGGCATTGGTCAACAGAAAGGGCCAGATTCTTCTCCACGACAACGCCGGACTGTATTTCACACGTCGCACAACCGTTTCCAAAGTTGAGCTAACTGGGCTACGAAGTTTTGCCTCATCCGCCATATTCACCTGACCTCTCGCCAACAGACCACCACTTCCTCAAGCATCTCGACCACTGTTTGCAGGGAAAACGCTTCCACAGCCAGCAGGATGCAGAAAATGCGTTCCAAGAGTTCGTGGAATCCTGAAGCATGGATTTTTATGCTACAGGAATAAACAAACTTATTTCTCATTGACAAAAATGTGTTGATTGTAATGGTTTCTACTTTGACGAATGATTGAACATTAACGGTCAGAAACCGCAATTACTTTTGCACCAAACTAATACCCAGCTCTGGACTCAGGCGCTTTAATTTTCTCTATGCCAGAGTCAGGCTGTGGCTGAAGATGGTTCCGTGTTGCATGCAGAATAATGTTCGTGCTTTATGGCAGCAAAGTACTTCCTCTTCTAGGAATCCAGGGTGCTAGGGAGAAGCGACCATCTGATTGACGAGGAATTGCTTTGCTATCAGTGGTGGAGCAGTTACATGCGCTTCTTATTGCTACAGGCGGAGCAGTATTTGAGCCACCGCAGAGACTGGCCCGGGATCCCCTCCGCCCGGCCCGACACCTGCAGCTGGTCTCCTTCTTTCCTGCCAGCACCTGCGGGGAGTGTCCTCCTCCGCTCCAAGGCTCACCCCCACCCCACGGCGTGCCCGGGGCCCACCCCATGCCCACCCCCAAAGGCACCATCCCACAGAAGACCCTTCCCGCTTCTTCACAGTGGCATCTCCACCACCACTGTCCTACCTTAGGATTCAACTGCTCCGCCCTCTCCCGTCTTTCAAACTACATGTTAATATATATCATCGTTTGTTCTCTCCCCTCCATACAAAGTTCTAGAAGGAGTTGTCCACATTCACCATCCCCACCCCCAGTTCCCATCTGCTTCCTTCCCTGCCCACCCTTAAATGCCAGTGGTCCCCGGAGTCTGTCACTGCCCTCCTCCCACCGTGGTCATGTCCTTGGCTCTGGTGACCACCAACAGGCTGATGCGCACTCCTCGATCTTGCTCCAGGGCACTCCAGATCTGTAGGATGTGGCCGACAAGAGGCATACACCCAAAACAGGCCCACCGCCCTGCCCTCCCCCTCAAGCCTGGGCTGCTGCTCCTGACACACCTGTCACCCACTTCAGGAGGGTTGGCTACCTCGGCCACACGATCATTTATTAGCTCAACAAACATTTATTGAGAGTGTACTGTGTGCTAGGTGTGGGAACAGTGGGAACAAGCCAGTGCAGCCTCCCCCTACATGGAGCACGTGCAGGGGTGGGGTGCAAATGAGTGAGGGGCTTCTGTCATTTAGAGCATGACTGCTGTGATAGGGACAGCGCAGGGTGCTGTGGTGGCAGCTTGGAGGGGCATCTAAGCCCTTGTCATCAAACCTAAAGAGCCTTCCTGGAAGAGGCAGGCTCCAAGCTGAGACTCAAGAGCAAGTGGGTTACACAGGTGAGGGGAGTCAGGGAGAGCGCAGGCAATGGAAGGACCAGGACTGCCCCCAGCGCTGTGGAAGGTGCCTAGGCCAGCCATGGGGTCCGGAAGCCAGGTGGAGGGCATGCCTCCCAGGAGCAGGCAGGCAGGAGCAGGGAGGGTGGACTAGGGGCGGCCTCCCGGCAGGGCAGGGAACTCAGCATGCACGCACCTGCCCCTTTTCCCACCGGCTCTCACTTCTCCAGGTGACTCTTGCCTTCTGGGCCCACTTCACACTGTGCCTGCTAGAGTCACAGGGTCCTGCTCCTGCCCCACCCCTGCTCACCTCCCCATCCTCCAGCTTGTGTCCTCCTTCCATCACCTCCCTCCCCCTCCTCCAGCTGTCACCTCCACTGGTCTCCGTCTCTCCTGGCCTTCTCCTGGGTGGGGCAGCCACTTCCTCTGGGTTCTAGGCTCCCCTGGCAGGTAGACGTAGCGAGCTGGCCAGTTCACCCCATTACCGAGCCCTCCCTCCTGAACCCTTGGCCCGCCACACTCCCTCACCACGCCCCCACCCCACCCTACCCTACCCTGTGCTTACCCTCAGTCCAGCCCAGGTTGGTGCTCCGGTAGATCTGCAAGCACTGCAGCTCCTTCTTCATGCCCCACCTGCAGTGGCGGCCGTACAGCCAGCTCTCCTGCAGGACCTCCAGGGCTGCCTGGCACTCCTTGTTGGCCCACGTGGTGTTGGGGTCGGGGCCTGCCAGACACTGCCACAGTGTGAGGTAGCAGGAGCTGGAGCTGCATTGGATTCGGCCTCATGTGGCTCATTGGCCTGGACACAGTCCACTGTGGGGCGCCAGCCGCGGAGCTGGCTGCCCTGCAGGAAGGACTGGCCAAAGAGCAGCGTCCTGTGTAGGTGGGGTGGAGGGAAGAGGAGCGCGAATGGGGGCCGCCCCGGTCTGCCACCCAAGACGCAGGCTCGGGGCTGGGGCCCTTCTGGGAACTTCACTCCCGTTTCACACCACAGCACACCAGGACCAACTCAGTGGAGCGGCCCTCCTCACACCCGGGGAGGACTCAGGCTGTCACTCTGCCGTGGCTCCACCAGTGTCTTTTCAGGTTGCCTGTCCATTCCTCCTCAGCACGTGCCCTGGGCCTAGGAGCGCAGCACAACAAGGCAGGAAGGCTGTCACTCAAGGCCACAGACAGTCTGGGACGCCAGGAGTCCGGAGAAGAATGTCATGAGAACAAGGTCGTGGCCTCAGCAGTGAGCCGGGGGCTGCAGGGCTTGCTGGGGTGTGCAGGGGGGATCACAACGAAATCCCGCCCAAGGCTCCCACGAGCCCAGCTCCAGCCGAGGCGCTGCGTTGAGCCTTGGAAGCCGTTCAAAGTCAGGGAACTTCCAAAGCATGTTGGGACCTCACAGAAACCGCAGAGTGCAGCCCCCGCAGTTTACCCCAGGGAAACTGAGGCCCCAAGAAGGTAGATGACAACTCCAGGTGACACACAGAGGCGAAACGCTCCCTCTGGCCCCTAGTCAGTCGTTCTGAGCTGCTGGACTTTGAGAGAAGACTGAAGAGAGGAGCCCAGGAGGGAAGAGCTGCCCTTGCTGGCCTCTGCACCCCCACACCTTCCAGACCAACTTCACACCCAAGGGAGACCTGAAAACTTGCCTTCCAAGGGACAAGTTCCACCCAGTGCCCTCCAGAAGAACATGCTTTAGCGAGCCTGGTGAGCACCTCCACGTCCTCCCCCTGTGCTCTCCTGTCTCTGTCTCTTACACTTCTCTTGCTGATGCTCCCAAGCTCTGTCTCTGTCCCCTTCACCTGTGCTCTGTGAATGGCCTTGTTCTCTCTTCCTGCCTCCCTCTCTCTCCCCCCTCCTCTTTTTTTACCTCTCCTCCTCTGAAACTGTCCCCCCACCCCTCATCGCTCTTTTGTTTTTCTTCCTTCCAAAAGCCAAATGATAAATCGATTGCAAAAGGGAAAGACCCTGCCGGCCGATGGAGCCCGGCTCCTCCAGAAACAGCAACACCCACCCCCCTGCCGCTGCCCTGTGCCCACGGCCACAGTGCCCCAGATGGAGAGGTGGGGAAGAGGACTGGGAGGTGAAGGGCAGGGAGTGGCTCGCCTCATCCTTTCAGAGCCAAGCTCCCCAAATGGTTTCCTCCAGATGTAGACATCTCCCCAGCCTCCCTGTCATCTCCTGAGCCCCTAACTCCAGATCCCGCACCAGGGAAAGCCCACACCATGCCCAGAGCCACGACTGCCATTTCCAAGACCCAAAGAGTGGTTTGGGAGGCTTCTTCCACTCCATCTCGCCCCAAAACATAATAAATCGCAGGCCAGAAGTCCCCTCCTGGAATACCCCAGAATCCCCCCACTCCTAGCCAGAACAGCCTCCTGCCCTCCCCTAGGACGCCCTGCTCAGGGGGCGCTAGTGCAGGGAGACAGGGGCATCTAGAGGTGGAGCACTGAGCAGCAGGCCATCCTTCCTGCCAGCCCCAGGGTTCACTCCTGGTGGCACTGGGCAGGGGGCCCACCCCCAGGAGACCTGAGAAGAGGAACAGGGTGGGCCTGGGGTGGAGCAGGCTTTGGGGGGCCAGAGCAAAAGACATGTCGCCCTCCCACTGAGCACAACTCTACCCCAGACCAGGAAGGCTGGAGGATGTGGCCAGACTAAGACAGACCAGAAAAGAAATCAGCACGGAGCGGGAGGCCCGGCACCGGCTGGAGAAGTGTCCTCCACTCGAGCTGAGGCAACACCTTCCTTTCTCGGCCTCAGCAGACTTCTGTCTCCCTGACTAGGACCCGGGTGCATGTGGGCCCCTCAAGAGCAGCTGAGCCCACATGGCCCAGCCCACACCTGCTGCCCCCACCCAGCCAGCTGGAGCCTCGGGGAGAGCACAGCCCTGGGCCCTCCACTATGCCTGGCGTCCCACTGGGCTTCTCCCCTGCCACCTAGACTGAGGCGAAGGTTGCGCTGTCAGAGGGGGATGGGAACGGGACCTCCTAGCACCCTCGGCCTTCTGTAGGCTCAGAATTGACAGCAGGCTTAAAGGTCAGGGTGTCAGTTACCCAGGGGGTTGGGCAATAAGGACACTCGCTCTGCCTGCTCTACAGCTGATGATCCTGACACAATCTCACACAGCTCCCCTGCCAAAAGTGAGGGCTTCTGCCAACTGGCACATGAGACCAGGGCAGGGACATGGTCTACAAAGGGCCAGGGCATCCTTTCCCTGAAGTGTCCTTGACTCTTCCAGTCCTCCTCGTGACCCCCAGAACAAACCAAGCCCCGCCAGAGGAAGGAATCATGGTGACCTGGAGCCTTTAGCCAAAGATCCTGAGAGTAAAGGGCAGAAGGGATCCTGGTGATGTCTCTCAATCCTAAATCAGGGGAAAACTTGGACCCATCAAGAACAGATGTGGGAGCAGCTTCTACAGACACATGGAGTAGGGGGAATGAGAGACGACACAGTGACAGCTGCCCTCCTGCGTTCAGCATCCCCACCAGAGCCAGAAAGCCAGTTGGGAGTGGGCCCCTGACCACCCCTATCCCCTCCCAGCCACGTACCCCAGCTCCTTCTGTCCCTGGGTCAGCCAACACAGGTCAGGATGGCTGGGCAAGAAAGGCCTCTCTCTCCACCAGTGGTCCTCCACCCCGAGACCCCACTCAGAATCTTGGGAGGAACCAGTGGCATTTCCAACTAGCTCCTTGCCAGGAAAAGGTCCCTTGCGCTGAAGCTTCCTTAACGCCACCTCATCCGTTCCTTTGCACTGGCCTAACCCAGAGCTTCTCAGGCCAGCTCTGTAAAGGGACTTCTCAAGGGAAGGGGAACTGAAGGGCCGTGACCCAAGGAAATGCTTAGCCCACTCCTCCCGTCTTCTCACCCCCTCCTCTCAACACTCAGCCCCCAGGGTCACAGACACAGGAGTGGGGGGGATCTCTGACCATCCCGCCATGCACATCATCTCACACACACACATCCACCATGAGCATGACTCCAATGCCACTTCTGGGAAGGAGAAGAGAGTTAACTCCTCAGCCTTCTCAGCTGGGGAAGCTGCCTGCAGCAGGAGGTGTGGGCCTGGAGGGGGTAAGGGCCCCCACCAGGGCTGCTCTCCTCTTTCCCAGGCCCTCAGAAGGTGCCCAAATCTGGGAGCCCTACAGCCGGGGGCTGTGCAGCAGCTCAGTGGGCAATCTGACTGCTCTGCCTGAAATACGATTTTCTTTTCTTCTTGGCACTGATCTTTCTCAGAGCCAGAAACCTGGGTTTTCAAACCAGCAGTGGGAGAAAAGGGCAGGTTTTATAATAGTCCCTTCAGATCGAGAGCCCACTTGCTAGGGTTGCCAGGAAGGGCTGGGGACCACAGTGGGCCCAGAGCACCTTCCAGCTGCCCCATCAGACTCTCCCACCGCAGAGAGAAGCTGAGGGAGGCTGGACAGTGGAGGCCACACCCCAGGGCAGGGCCTTGTCCCCTGGGGAACTCAGGCCAAGGGTGGGCAGGAAGAGGGAGGGTGCAAGGACAGGGCTCTGGGCCAGACCAGCATAGACACCCATGAATAAATTTCCTATCCCAGGCTGGAGGGTGCTTCTTAGGCCACACACAGCTCCCTGACCAGCTCCTACCTGGAACTCTGGGCCTTCCCAGAGCCCCTCCTGCAGGACAGAAGAGTGTAATCAGGACCCCACTGGGCAGCCTGGCTCTCCACTGGCCACACAGCCAGCCAGAGGGGCTGGAACAGCACCTGCGCTGAAGCAGGTGTGAGTCCCCCCAACACACACACACAGACACAGACACACACACCTTAGTTACCAGGCTCCCTCTGTGGAGCACCCACTCCCTGGCAGGAGCCTTGCCTGGCACTCTGCTTGGCACACAGCCTGGCAAACACCCTCTTTTCCTCGCCTTCCCCCAAGATGCTTTCTCTAGACCCCAGCTTCCCAGGAAGCTGAGATTTCGCATAGTGTACAAGGGATCCAGGGGCTAGGAATTCTGTGTGGGAAAGAAACTGTGGGGTTCAGGGGCCCCAGGCAGCCCCTCCTCCCTGCCCAGGAGGGAGGGGGCTTGCGGCACAAGCAGTGCTCTTTGTTCAGATCCCTTTTCCTCCAGGGCCTCCCACGGTCTTCACCAGAGGAAGCAAACTTTGGCCTCCCTTCCTCCCCGCCGCCCCCCAGAGGTAGGGAACAGCTGCTCGCATCCTCCACGCCGGCACACCCATCTGGCTCGGGTCTGGGTGGGAGGCAGGGCAAAGGGTGGGGAGAAATTTGAAAAGTGCTCCAGGGAGCGGAGCCGCTGGGAGGGGCTCGCGAGTGGGCTGCGGCCAGGCAGGTGGCGGTGACTGCCAGCGCTTCCCCGCAGATGTCCAAGCAGGAGCCCCCAGAGAAACCCACGCCCTCCACCGCCAGCGACCCGGGGAGCCGACGGGAAAGGTGCCACTGGCCGGATTTTCTCTCCGCGCCACTGAGCCTCTCCCTGCCCTTCTCTCTTCCAGATCAAGAGTTGGATGTTTTTTCTTAAGTTGCCGCAATTTAAACCCATTATTTGAGGGAAATGAGCGATATCACGGTGTGTCAGTGATAGAGGGTATGTGTCTGTGCGTGCGTGCAGGGACAGTCTGGAGGTGGCGAGTCCCCTTCCTGATTCCCCTGCGGCTAGGGTCCCTCTGCCCGCGTCCTCGCCGCCGGGCCTGCTGGGCTCCCCAGAGCCGACCTGTCGCCCGCAGCCTCCGGCCCCCGCCCCGCTCGCTGCAAGTCCCCAGCTTCTCGCAGGCGGGGAGCACACCGGCCGCAGGTA